AATATAACGAGATGACATGGAAGCGGATATATGTTAGAGAATCCCAAGACTGCACCACCAGATTGATTTCATGTATGTTCCCGCATGACCAGTGCATGACCGAAGGATGACCTGTTGTTTTTTTACTTCACTGGTCTATTTCATCATCCCTGTTGACGAAGTTCTGGTGACCCTGTGAAACAGTCGGGCCGCCCCTGTCGAAAGAGTTCCATGTTGAAGACGTGTTGTCCGGCACTCACTACCATCGCCAGCTTTCCTCAACTTTGGCCTCGTTCAATCCGGTGAGGAACAGGTATATAGCTCTCAAAAGACCCACGAGACATGCATTTTTGGCCCTCGACATGACCAAGCCCTCTACAGTCTCGTGTTTCGTTGGTTTCCGGTGGATTTCAGACTCAATTTTCGGACAGCAATAGTAGAGCACGATTTACGATTTTACGAGAAAGGTTGCTGCACGATTTAACTGCATGTTCCAATAGGTTGTTTACACGATTTTACGAGAACATAAGCTATCTTCGATTTTTATCGGATTCCAGAGCTTTTTCGTGGCTTCTTCGACCGGATTCCGGACATGTCCGCCTTCCAGCCATGTTCGTACAGTTCCTTCGAGCTTGGCCATTGCTGGCCTTCTCACCTGCCACGTTCGCGGACCCGTCGGACTGTTGGAGCTTTCGCCGAAGTCGTGCGCTTTGCTGCTATGACCTCGCTCGCAAGGAAGCATGCTTCAGCAGCGTTGAGGACATGGAGAGGTGCTGTGGAGACCCGGTGAGCCGACACATTCACGAAATGATTTATCAGTTGCTGCCATCAGATGATCCACAAGTCCCATTTTTGGCGCGCTTGAGATCAGTTCACTCTCACAAGTCTCATGTGGCTGCAGCCTTTTTCGTGCACGAGTTCTTGAAGCAAGCTCTGCTAGAGCTAAAATTCGTTGAGAACCACACCATTTTGGGTGAATTGCCTTTCATGCGGACAGCTTTCCAGGTCGCTTTGAGGTACTTTTTGTGCTTGCATGTCCTTCATCGATTTCTGAGAACTCCACGATTTGTGCAAGCCATTCTGAGACGAGAAGACCTCTTATGGTCGGGTTTTACCCGAATTTACTTTGCCGCTTGGGGTGCACGGGATTTCTGCCGATGTGTCGAAGCCGGCGAGTTCTTTTCCAGAACGGGCGCTCAGCTACTGCAGGCGGGAGTGGGACGAGCACATTTTCCACAGGTCTTCTTGAACAGCAGTTCCATAGAACATCAAGCATTGAGCCTGCAAAACTGCCGGCTACATACTGATATGGACTTGGAAGCGGGGTCCATCGTCAGAACTGCATTCTTTTCACAATGTATCCCCGGTGATCTGTCAACGCTCCTTAGTTTGCTTCATGGCTGCATCCTTGAGCAAGATCTCACAAAAGTTCTGTTGCTGCATGAGGGCATTTTTCAGCTCGCCACCTTTGCACAAGATTGTCTCGACATCCGAACATGGGAATTCAGCGTGCGAGATGCAGCTCTGCACTATGCCAGACTTGTATGGCTTCTGTTGCAGAATGCAGGGCAGCAAAATCGAGTGATCTTTGGCGCGCGGCTGCAAAAGCGGATTGCCTGGGCCCGTAGGTCTTCTTTGTTTGGGCAAAGATTGAGTTCACCCGGCACTGGATCAGCTTGGTATTCGCAATGCGGACCACATACCTTGCACTTGGTCCAGCTCCTGTCACCCTCCCACAATCAGACGAGGCACGGTCCGCTTTGTACGGAATTTGGCCGCTTTTGGTTATACTTGAATCATTTGCCGCGACCCGTGGAGGAACTCCAAGCGGATTCCACGAATTCGGATTCCGGCTGTGAAGCGGAAGCGACGGCGCCGGTTCTCCTAGTGATACCGATCACCATGTCGTGGGAAGCGAACCCATGGCACCATTTGCATTGGTGGATCCCAGTGATTTGGTATTCCAAGATCTTCCTTCAACTCCAAGAAAGAGACACTGATGTGGCACTTGTGTTTCCACATGCGGAAACTGACTGGGCGATCTCAACCGCAGAGGGGAGAAAGCTTGATTGGAACTTTCGAGGGCACACAGAGCCCTCCATTTGGTCTATTTTGCAACACGACTTTCCCTTCAAGACGGAAGAGGCGATGATGCACTGGAGAGTGGATTCCAAAAACCTTCTGGGGCTTCATGCAGATCTTCTCAAGTGGATTTCCGAACGTCCGGCAAGGCCCTTGGCCAAGTACTATGGATGCAGCTACGGACGAGTCATCCTTGGACTCCCTTCGCTTCGCTCCTTTTTGCAAACGCCTCAATTGACCTGTGCGAAGCTTGATCAAGTGAAACAATGGGTTCAAGGAACTCCAGGTTTTAACCGGCAAACATCGCAGCCATCCGCTGCAGGCCGGAGGAAATGCTGGTAACTTGTGTCGTTTTATGTAACTTGTCCGTTGTACTCTCAAAAGTGCCAGGTCTGACACTAGCAGTGCTTCAAAGACCACAGCAAGATGGCCGCCGAATTCAAAACTATGATGAGGCACTCCGGCATATTGCAAACGCTTTTCTTTTGATGCGTAAGGGCGACACTCCAAACCACTAACCCCAAGCCAGGTCATGGACTTTGTCAGCAGGAACTTCAAACTTCAGATCAAGGAAGTAGAGGGTCTCTCACATGGAACGCCCTGGGTGGAGCAATTTCGCCAATTCGTTGATGCGGACGCCTGGCATGAACTAGAGTCTCTGTGGAGCGGGACGTGGACAAGACACGTTGATTTCATTTGAGATTCTCGAAACTGCTGGGCACACGTCGCAATTCCAAGCACATGACCTTGGGCTTGCTAGGGCCCAGACATTTGCCGTACATGCAACCTATCCAAGAAGTTTCTCATTTCTCATGTGAATTCGGTGTCTTCCATGCAGTTGTCGCTTAGGATATCCTTTTGGCCGTGCATGGGGCTGGCCTTGCATGGCTATGGGCACTACGACGTGGTGGCGCTGTCGTGGAGTTGAGGTGTGGCCGGTGTGGCCTACTTACTCCCCTGTGATTCGGTCCACATGGACCCCCAAAACCACTGGGTTTCATTGATACTAAATGGTGGGGTTAGATCAGCTAAACCATTCTAAACCACCTCCAGTCTGTACCACCATTTGACTTTGGTGAGGGTTGTAGAAGAACATGCTCGAAGCCACGGGTCAATTCTCTGAGGCCATTGGACATAGGAAGTCTTCTATCAGCCCTCTGAAATGTCCAACATCACCCATTCACTTGCTTCAGAGAGCCGACAGGAGCCAAAGTTCTCCGGTCTGGCTGCAGTGTAAGGATCTTAGTTCTTCCAATAAACAACTATGGTCCTCGCGGCTCCAGTCGGTTTCGTCTCGCGCTCATGGCTCCAAGGTTCTGATCTCTGGAACAACGACTACTCCCAAATCTTTGGAGGATTAGCTCGTTTGGTGGGCCACTGAGACCGACACACACCACTGAGACGATGGAAAACAGTTCTGAGTTCAGCTGGTTCGATGGTTCTGAACGGGAAAAAAGGGAACCCAACCACCTGTGAGGCAGGCATCCACCACCTGTGCACTCGGCCACACGACGTGAAAGGGAGTTTGAAAGAAGCCAGCGACTAAGTCCAGCGGCCATCGAGTTGTTGATGTTTACATATATGAACTGATGACTCATGACTGACGAAGTCCATCGGATAATTTTACACATAATGACTGACGTCCACTTCTTGTCACACTTCATGTTCTGATGCCCCCGGCGAAATGAACAAGGCACGCTTGTCGAACATCGGCGACATGAGCGATGCAGATGCCTACAATCATAGTGATGATGTCCTGCTGGCTTGGTTTTACAGTTCTTGACTGCTCTATCTTTGTTGATGTTCAGTGAATGAGAGATGGCTTACTCTGAGTAAAACAGGTCTTTGTTGCGTTGCCGAAAGCCGAGAGCATTCTTCACTCAGCTTCTCAGTCGCACTTCTCTGGAGGCGAACTGAAGGAAGCAAGGAGAATGAATGTGAATGAAGGTCTTTTCTGGTTAAGATTGATTGCAACATCGCGTCTAAGTCAAGTGTTTTGTGTCGCCGCCTTCTCTCTATTTCTGAGGCCATATCGATTGTGCATGGAGAGCCTTTGCCTTGCTTGAACTACCATTGGTGGATTTAGCTACCGGACCTTCTCTGCCCAACACATTCCGACGCGCGAAAGCTTCGCGCTCGGAGCGGGTCATCACCGCCCCGCCGGACTCCCGACGAGGTCAGGACCGGCGTGGCATGGACGCATGACCTTTCTTTAATCAGATTCTTCTTCTTTTTTTCTGCTGAAGGCACGTTGCCGCAGAGTTGAATCCCAACAACTGACAAGCAGAGATAGTTTAGAGTCCTGCATGGTCATTGAACGTCATACAAAATATATCCTCTCATATATATATATATAGAGAGGTATCCACACCCTTCGTTTACTGTCACACCACATGAGGAGCAGAAACCTGATGAGATTTTGGCAGCACGGCCCTCGCAACACATGCAGATTTCGGCCGCGGCTGCCGCCACTGCAGCACAGCGGCATAGAAGATATAGAAGGTCTCCAATAAGCATAGATGGCCTTTGACTATTGGTGTTTATTGGTTGGTTGACTATATAATAGAGGATACTCCCCCAAGTGAACCACCAGTTGGTTTTATGGTATTTGGCATCGACCCCTTTTTTATTGCCAAGGTCGGACATCATTATCATTGCCGATCAGCAGACAAGACATTTCTGACATGTCAAGACAGTTTGGCTCGGATCGAAGTGGGTGGGCTCGGAGTGAAGTTTCAATCTGAGCCTGTAGCATGCTCAAGAAAGACTTGCTGGAGAACTGAATGCTCCGTGAACCAGGAAAGCGTGGGCAGCATGAGTGCAAGCATAAGACAGTTGAGAGATGCCCCAACCCAGTGACACTGACCTATCTAATTAACACCTTTAGTGTTTTCCTCAATTTTGCATTCTCATTTGCCTTTCGACTGGCTTTGGCTTTGGCTCAAGTGTACCCGCTTGGGAATTCAACCTGGCGGACGTAGCAGTGATGGGTCAGAATTGTTTGGAGCTCAGAATACTCCTATTCAAGAGACAGTGTTTGTGGGCATCAGCAGCTGTCAGTAATTTGTATCGATTAAAGGCATCAATCCTTTCAGGGCGCCGAAATGATGCGCTCTTGAAGTCTTTGCGTGTTTGCATGTTCAGTGTTTTTGAACCGTTTTCTCCAAGATTCTGCAGGTTTTGGGCTTGTAGTGCTGCTGTTGCTTGCTCAGACCAGGCAAGCCTCAGATTTACAAACTCGAGTCAACCAGTCAACCTGGTCACTCGTTGTCAGGAGTTTGCTGAGCACAGAATTGAACTAATACTTTGTTCGAAAACCACCCACATTTTGACAGCCGGTTTTGCCGGTTGGATTTGATTTAGTGAAATTCCTGGGTAGTCGTGCTAAATCTGAAATTGCTTGGGTTTTGGCAGTTGACATTGCAGCTTTCACTGCATCTTCTCTATTGCGTTCATTCGTTTGGTCTTTAAACATATTTTAATGATAGGGAGGTAAGTATAATCAAAAAGTTGGAAGTACCTACAAAACCTAGAAGTGTTGCAAATTGCACATATGACATGCCACAAAGGCTACAGGACTTATCCTTCAGGCAACTAGCAGGACAATGATCACCTTGTGCAAAAGGATTGTGGCAAGGAAGCTAGAGCCCCAAGCCTTTGACGGGGTATGAGCTTGTCATCTTCTAATTCTTGCATTTGCCGCTCAATCTATTCCTTTCTAGTTCTTAAGCCCTGGCAGGAAGGAACTGAAGACTGTGAAATGCTTGGGAGCTTTGGCTAAGATTGTTTGTTTTAGAGTTATCAGTGATCAGCATGTTCGTGAAAACTGTCTGAACAAGTTCGGACTCTGGGAGGAAGGATTTTCGATTGTGGAAAGGTTTGGAGAATTGTGCTGTAAGTGCTGCCAAGACAAGGGCAGCTACCACCAAGTCCAACCTGAGTGAATATTAAAGAAGTGACATCATGCAATCAAGAACTCAAGTGCAGACCAAGCAAAAGGCATGATGCCAGCAAGAGCTCATGACAACATGGGATGAAGGACATTTTTAAGCCAGCAATCATTCTTCCTGCCCTGGCAAATGTACATGCCGACAATGTTAATTGCAAGTCCGGCCGGCCAACCAGCATTGCTTTGTTCACTTTGTCCGGCAAGGTAAGGATTCTCAGAGCTCAAAATTCCTGAAGGTCTGGCCAACCTTTGGCAACGCTCGCCCAATCTTGGAGGTTTAATTACAAAGATTGATGGGATGCACTTGTCATTGTTCATCACGCGCCTTTTAGAGCTTAGATGTGCATGCAACGGAAGTTGCCGGGGGTGCCACATCTACTATGCACTCTGAGTCCTGGAAAGCCACAAGTTTCGGCTACAAATGGGTATGAATTTAGCTGACACTTGTGAGTATGCAGTATGCATATGCAGGTGGAAGTACTGCCATGGTTGGTGCAATAATTGACTCTGGTATCACACACATGGTCGCTAGCTCTACAGTGGCTTCGCTCATGGCGGAGATGCTCGGGGTCAGGGTGCAGTGTGGGCTTTGCACGCCGTCGCCGAACTTGGCAGGTTTGCGGCGACGTTCGATGTCACTGATGTCGCGGAGATTTTTTTGAACAGCTCTGACCCGCTGTTCTCCGACCCGTCCGTTCGCCGGAGCGAGGCGGGATGGAAGCCACAGCTCGTGGGATTTGTGCGATAGCTTTTTCGGCGGTCTCTTTGGTTTTGGTCAGGATGGAAGCTGTGGCGTTGAGATCTTAGCAACGCTTTGGACGAAGACACTAAGTCAGTCATGTTGGGGTCATTTCGAATCTTGTTTGGTCTTTCATTAAATGATTGTTGGGATACTTTGAAATTGAGCGTTGGGAGACTGAGGGTGATGCGATTACTGGTTCTGTGCGGCCCGTCACAAGTGGCGTGACCCTTGGAGAACCGGAGAGCACAAGACTGGGAAAGCCTTGCACCTTGCAGACTGGGAAAGCAAATTTCATGCTGCAGACTGGAAATTCTACTTTTCAATGAACATCTTCGATCTAATTAAATAGCATTATGTTACGGGAGTCAGCCGATAGGCTTGGCTGAGTCCTCGATGGGCGAACGAAGTGAGTAAGTAATAGGGTGTGGGGTGGAGGTGGTTGCAGCGATGGACAACCTGGGTAGTGTGAACCCACCCACAGCTTGGTGGGCGGTCCAAAAAGTAGTGAACATGCATGTTTTGAGTGTTTTGATGATGCGAGTGATGCAAATGGTGCAGAGTAGGCATCACTAGCATCCAAGGGTTTTGAAGAGGTGATTACAGTAAATTGTCTACTGAGGTGAGCTGACCAGGTGTGTGAGGAGAGGAGACTGAAGACCGAATGCACCGTCTTTGGCCACGCTAGCCACGCTTCATCAGTCCTAAGCAAGGTCCAGCATAGCTTGCAAGCTTGATGTGGCTTGCCGCAGCCACTCCCTGTGTTCCAGCCTAGAAGCATATATCTACTTTTGCTTCGATGTGCGATCCCTCCCTGCGTGAGAGCCCGTGTATAAATTGGCTCTATCATATTCACCGTCAATGTGAAACATTGCATATCACTGCCTTCTCTTGTCCCGTGCCTACATAACCGAAACATTTCTCAATCCCTACAGGGGCTAGCTTTTGCCCCCTCCCTTCTCAGGTATTTTTTCCAAGCAGCTCAATAGCCTACCTCTTTGCGAGTTGAAGGAGTTGATACGCACCAGGTTAGCATTGGGGAGACTTGTTCAGCGAGGATGTTCGGGTCACTTCGCGACAACAATTGCCTGCACCAAGTGGCTGTCAGAGAGAAGGTAAAAGAAGTCTCTAATCACAGTATTTTTGGATTTCCTTGCAAATTGTTTAGTTGTGTTTTGCTTGCAACTTGCAAGCATTGTTGGATCTACTTTTTGACTCCCTTGAAATTGTACATTGTCAAGGGGGTCGAAAAATAGAGTTATTATGTACAACATGAAGTGGATGAACATAAATGACACAAGTATCTATAATCACACATGTATAATCACTCTAGTTTTGGACACTTTTACAACTTGCTTAGCCACATCTTACTTGCAACTTGCAAGCACTGTTGGATAATGTTAGATATATTTTTGGATCCCCTTGAAGTTGCACATTGCTCAGGGGGTGCAAGTTGGCCGAAGAATAAAGCGATTATGCGCAATAAACTATACAGTGTGCATGATCGAGACAAGACTTAGAGAAGAACGCCGAATGCAGTGGATGAATAAACACCAAGAAGAGTCTATATATAATCGTCTTTTTAAATTTAGCGCCCACACTAATTTGCCGGCATTTTTAAACAATAAACTACACACTTGCAACCAGTTCGTGCATATGCTGCTATAACAAACTATACAATTGCAACCAACTGATGCGTATGATGCAATCATGAAACATGTATTAAGACATAGACTGCTGAACGGAGTCGTTTGTTTCCTTTTCATGGACCTAGTCTACCTAGTGATGCAAATGGTACGATGATGAGAAGTACAGTCAGACATAATTGATTTACAACAACCATGTGTCTTTCCATGTTTTTAGTCACTTCCATGCATCTCCCAGACACATCTCATGATGCAGAATATGCATTTTCTTTCCCAAGCGAAAATAGCACCCTAGAAAACTACTCAAGAAACTGCAAGTAGGTGCCTTCTTTGCTGAAAGTCTAGAACAGCAACAGCATGTATTGGGCCAAGCAGGTAATTAGAGATGTTTGGAGGTTGTGGGCAGCTGTCGCAGCTGTCGGAGGTATTGAGGTCAGGGGAATTACAAAAAGGGCTGTGGGTCAAAACTCGGAACCCTGGTAGGTTGACCTAGCCAGTAGTCTATTATGTTCATTTTTGGGTGAAGGTATTGAGGTTTCAGAAGGTTTTGGTGGTTTACCTTGAAGCAACGCTGCTTTTCGGTCGAGGCCATGAAATCCACGCAGCCACTGGGAGAGAATCTCAACTGCAACGTCACAAGACCACGAGTAGCAAAGTTCCAAAGCAATGTTGGAATTAGTTTGACCACAGGTTAACACGAGTTGCCTATTTACGCATCTAGCAGCATCTGGCCTTCCAATGTTTTTGATCGATTTGGAATTCCATGATTGCGCCAAGGAGTGGTGGTGGTCTGAAACTGGGGCCCAATCCTGTGCTACGGAGACATGCAGTTACCAAGGTAACCTTGGTTGGGCTCTCAGAGACGAGACGACAGTGGCAGCGACAGTGGCAGCGAAGAAAGTCATATTGCTTGGTGGTTGACTCCCCAAAAATGAAGACAGGAGGTCACCCCAACCTACCTTTTTTTATTTGTGGGTGTGGTCGGTTCGTGTTGCTGCCTTTGAACAAATGATTAAACATAACTAAAAACGGTTCCCTGCAGTTTCGGTGTGTTTGGTTTTGAGTTTTGACCTCATCTCAATGGATTTTTCATGGTTTTTGCTGGTGTTCTTCAAAGGTCCTGGGGCTTATTGGTGCCCCCTGGAACCTGGTGGCACAGCTGCGGACCGGGCCAAGTGCGACTGTGAGTGGGGAAGCCCAGACGTGCAGTGGCTCTCAGATGGGTTGGAGAAGACAGCTTCGGTTCGCCTCCTGCTTAGGGCAGGTGTTACAGTTACTCAGAACACCCACATCTCATAAGGTGGGCTGTGCAAAAACCCGAACCACAGTCATGAGTCATGCTTTAAGTCATGCTCAATTTCTGTGAATACGTCGGGCACAAGGCACCAAAGTGCTGCTCACCACCCAGCACCCCTCAAAGCAGCCCACTAAGATATAATACCATGAAACGCGCCCATATATATATATATGCATATACTTCCACAAAAACATTGCACATAGACTGCATGAAATCTTTCATACGCCATACGCCCAGGTTCATGCCAGAGGAGGTTCATGCTATCTACAAGCGCAAAGCTGCATTGACATTCTGCATGGCGGATTTAATCATTTGCAGACAACCGCCCATGTCTTCAAGGTGGTGCACTTCTTGTAAGTTCTTCAGATGTGTCAATGCAGCCTGCAGTTCTACCTTGCGGCGCTTAGTACGGTCAGAGGACGAGGAAGAGGAGGTAGAAGACGAAGAAGATGAAGATGAGACCTTGGCCTTGCCATCCTTGGGGGTTGTCTCCTTGACGCAATCCTCGTCCATCATATTGTCATCATTTGGCTGTGAGTCCAGGGCTTCTGAGTGATGGTCCTCAAAGATGTTGGCATCCTCATCCTTTGGCTGTGAGTCCAGGGCTTCTGAGCTCTCAACATTGTTGCCAACGGCTTTTGAGCAGGAACTTTCAGCAGGTGGTTTGTCCTCCAATGCCAACATATTCCTTTTCTGCACGCCCTTCAAATCTTTCAAGAGCCACGTGTCGAGAACATCTTGCGCTTGACGAGACCACTGGCCAGAAATGCCAGGAGCTAAATTCAAGCTTCTTTGGACATAGTGAATATGCGCTTGAATCTGTCTCGGTGTTCGTTGTTGTTTTGACTCACACGCTGCTTTGCGGCCACTGACGATGTCCTGGTGGAGTTCATGTGCGTTGGGCACAGGCACTGACGGCTCAGCATCAGTAGTTGGGTCTGGGCGGTAGATGACAGGGTCCACCGTCTGCAGATCCAACGAAAACCGCCCAGGTTCTACTTCAGAACCCATAGCCACAAACATCACCTTCTTGGGCGCCATGATGACACTGATACAGACTTGAGCTGGAGCCAGTCACTATCAAGGTAACTTCATCAATGAAGAAGTGGTGTGTTTATAAACAGTAGTCAGTGTTTATAAACATGCAAACTGCCAAAGTAAACAAGAGTAATCAAATACAGATACCACCTGCAAAAAGCTATATGCTTGTTGTCAAATGACATTGAAGTAATCATGCAAGCAAACACATACAGAAACCACTACAAGAACATACCTTGCAGATGCAGACGCTAAAGACATGACATTTTTTGCGTAAAGCTACTGCAGCAGATTGCATTGCAATCTATACCCATACCGTTGGTCAGACAGAGTACACAGATGAACGCTAAGGTGATGACAAAACAAATGCATTCAGCATTGATTGAAATGAGTTGCCAATGTTGACTCTGAACGTGTACTCGTACAGATCCCCTACATCTACTTCGTCTTCTGCTTCATTTGAAGCTGTGGACTGGAAGCATAACCTACCATAGCGCTCTCTCACCATGGTCTTGAGACGGGAAAACTCGGACTCAATATCGTTCGAATGGAATCCAGTATTGGCATCTCTCCAACCAGTCGAGTGGTTGATGGACGGAGCCGCCTTCAGCCCAAGACTTTTGATGGCAGCAGTAGATGCTTTCCAAGCGTCGTGCACGAGAAACGCCTGCTTGGCAATGCACGATTGGATAGCAATCTTCATAGAAGCAGTGCCCCGCGATTTGTGATCCGCAGCAAAAGCAGGCTTTGGCAAGAGGGTAAAGGAAAACCGTTTTTTTCCGTTCTCATGTGTGTATTTTGTTTTCTTATTCCCAACAAGAACCGCTGCAAAGAGCCATCGGCCCTGGGAGCGGGTGTCCCTCTCTGTGCCCACCTTGTTCTTGTTGAAGACAGATTTCATGACTGCGGCAGGCCGGCGAAGTGGGGCGGCAGCCGGCCGACGCGCAGGCGCAGCAGCAGGCCGGCGCAAATGAACAGCTGGACGCCGGTGAACGGTTTGTGCTGGAAGTCTCTTTGCCACACGTTGCGAAGTCACGGCCTTTGTTCTCTCTGAACTACGACCAGATGATGATGACTTCGAAATGCCCCGTTGACTGCCCAAGTTTGTCTCATCAAAGACCACAACATCTCCAGGAGTAGCGCCAATGATCATGCTGCTGTGGTGCAAGAGGTAATTCTGCAAAGAGGACTGGTATAACGTCCGCCATCGGCGCATGGTCTTGTCAGAGAAGCTATTCCCAAAGATAGACTGAAGCTCGGATTGAATTTTGTTCCACCTGTAGTTTAGCCGCATTGCGTTGGAGAAGTACAAGAAAGGCAACCACATGGAGCAAGACACTTGGGACAGAAGACCTGCAGGACAAAGGGAAGAACGAAAGCATTTGTGACCTCGTTGACAGCAACGCCATCTATAACGTAGTTCTTCATCTTCCCATTCCTCCACCAACTTCACCGCGTGCTTCTTGTTGTTTGGGCAAACCTTGACATCAGGAATCAACCCAAGAGACAAAGCAATCAGAATGCCCCGTAGTGAAGTACAATCAGTGAGTTCATTCTCTGAGCACAATGGAGGCCCCAGCGCATGTAAAGTCAAAGCTGGAGATGACGCAAACCAACCTTCACAAACTTCACTTCGGTATTCTGCATGAGTCAGCGGCCGAAACAGACCTGCAGAGCTTTGTTGGGCAGGCCTCCTTCGAACGGATCTGGAAAGCATTTTGCGCAGATACGACAACTACCAAGGCAGTGCTCGAGATGCTACTTCGCGTGAGATATACAAAGAATGAAAATGCAAGAACGACAGGCAAGGGAGGATATTCTTGTGAACACAGTTTACAAGCAAGTGACATCTGATTGTAAGTGACATCTGCAGCACAGCTTACAATCATGGATCAAATGAACTGTGTCTGAAAGTGCACATCGCTCTATGAACACAAGTCAAAGCTGTCAGGAAGCAATACAATTTTCAATCTTTTTCATAACGCGTCCTCTCTCTGTACATAGGCAAGACTAAGCAGGAGCCTCAAAACCACCACCGAATCCAAATACATCTTCTTCTTCTTCTTCGCCCATAGGGTCTGGCGCTGCCACAGGGGCAATGTCGATGGCATCGGTCTCCATGTTGTTGTTCTCTTCACCTTCAACGTCAATGACACCAAAGGCTGTTCGCGCACGCTTTGTCGCTGGTGAGATGATTTCTTCCTTCAAAGCAATTGGCGAAGGACGAGGATATGCAGGAGCCTCTGGCTCAACAGGAGCTGCTTCCCTTCTCCATTGGTCATGCTTCTCAGCTCTTTCCATATATGCTTTTTCCTCTGGCGTTGCCAACAGCTTTGCAACAAGGGCAGCCTCTTCGTCCAGCTGACTGTCGTAGTTGGCATACTTCTGATGCACTCCCTGCTTGTAAGAGCCATACGAAGATTTGTTTTTGTCGCAGAGCCAATCCTCTGTGATCCCATCACCAGAGAAGCGGTAAATAGTCTCTGACTCATTTTGGCTTGGCAAACGCAAGTACACCGCCCTGCGACCAGCAATGATGACAGCAGCACGCTTCAAAATAGCCATCATGTGAGGATGCTTGGCATACTGGATGGCGACAGCAAACATGCCCTGGAACTGCTCCCAGGTGATGGTATCACCCAAAGAAAGATCTGGCTCTTTGGTTTCATCCCATTCGTTGTTCAGGATCACCCGGCATTGGTTGCGTACAAATTTGGCAGGCTTGTAGCGGGCATCTACTAAGCAAGTCTCACCAACGTCTAAGAAAGACTTGATGTCTTCAAAGTTGATAGCACTGAGGTTTGGGTCATCCAGCAAGACAGGCACATTGACCTCACCCGGCCGCTCGCGAAACCCGTCAATTTGCTTTGATCGCCGCCAGCCAGCCATGCCAGAAAGACCACGAACAGAAATAAGATGACGAGCTACTGCCAAGGTCATAATTTGTGCAGTTGGAGTTTTGCCAATGCCGGCTCGCCCAAGGACCATCAAGCCAAAGTTGGGAAGATAAGGAAGCACCAGGGGCACCACAGATTTCAGAAACTTGGGGTTCAGGTCAAAGAGCAGCAAAGGAAAGAACCATTCCGGTTCAGACTGGCAGTTGCCAGATGACCGGTTTGCGCATGCTTTCTGGACTACTGCAGATGGCCAACCGTAGAGCGGCGATGCCTCATCACGAATGTTCAGCAATACCCAAAGATATTGCTCATTGTGAGCGTTGGCCAGAGGAGCATGTTCATTGATGTAGGCTATTCCACAGCGAAGCTCTTCTTCATCTGGATTCCAAGTCTTGTTGTCTCCATCCTTGGAAGTATGCCGTTGAATCTGTGGCTTGTCCACTACTTCTTGTGTTAGCCACTGGTCTCCTGGAATCTTGCTCAACATCTTCATGAAGCCCTTCTTGACGACATCAGAATTAGAGCAAATCTTGTAGTCGATGGTGAGGACGTTATTGTTGCAAAGAGTTTTGGCCAAGCCCATTGGAATTGACACCGTAGAGTGGTAGAACTTGAGGACTGTCCAGGAAGCATGAGCAGATTTTTCCAAAACTAATTGAAGTACACAAGAGTCACCAAGAGCATCACGTGGACGGACAGATGCAGGTAGATGAGCATATTTTGGTGATGCCTCACTCATCACTGAACGAATAGCAGCCACATCCACATCAGACACATTGCGGATGACCTGAAAGAACTCCTTGAAGGACTTTTTGGATTTGGGCTCCACTTTGATCAGAGGTAGTTGATCAATGGACACTGTGCCATCCGAAACTTTTGTGTGCTTGTGTGTTTGCATGTACTTCATATATGCGTTGTTACCTTCCATCATGGCAGCTTCCATGGCACAAGATTGGAGGTAAGAAGCAGTTGCTGACAAACTAGTTCGAGCAAATATACTGAAGAAACCAATGTTTATAAACAACCATTTTGTTTATAAACAACTCCTTTCTTCAGCTGGGGGAGGGGGGGGGGGCTGAGAGCTCTTAAGCCTCCAAGGGGG